AACTTATAAGATTGTGGTTTGACTTATATAGGGCTATGGTTCCTGTGTTCTGACAATTGTCTGACACCCACTGAGTGTCCTGCAGTCCAATTCCATTCTGACACTACCCGGAGTTAGCATCAGATCCCAGAGTTAAAGACCAAGGTCCCTAACAAGAGTGCTCTTAACTCAGATGCCAGACACAAATGGGGCCCTATCTTACCTGCACTTTGGTCTGACTTGGCTACAAATTCAGGGGTTCCCATAACCTCCCTTTAGGTTGGTGAATTTGCTAACTCCCTGAAAGTGCTATACTTACAATTACAGTTTTATTGTAAAGGATACAACTCAGGAACTTCCAAATGGTCTCAGGGTGGGGGGTGGCCAGAGCTTCCATGGAATCAGGTCTAGTCACCTCCCAACACATTATAAGTTCACCAACCAGGAAGGTCCACTGAGCTTCAGTGTCCAGAGTTTTTATCTGAGTTTTATTATATAGGCACATTTGATTAAATCAATAGCTACATGATGGACCTCAATCTCCAGTCCCTGTCTCCTCCCCAGAGGTTAGGGGGTGGGACCGGTCATTCTGGCATGGCCATCCCCTCCCTTGGAACTATCTAAGGGCTCACAATTAGCCTAAACTCAGGAATGATCAAAAGAGGCTCATTATGAATAAGACACTCCTATCAGGAAATTCTAAGAATTTTTGAAGCTCTGTACCAGGAATTAGGGACAGAGACCAGATTATAAATTGCCAATTTATAGTTTTCTTTAGAATCACCCCAGGGCATATTACAGGTTCAGTTTCCAGGGTCCTGGCTCTCAAGATGATGGATATATCAGGTCATGGCTGAGACCTACCAATGTGCGTGCCTACCATACTCCCAAGTGATGTTGATGCTGGTGGTCTATGGCTCATACTTGGAGGAATGCTGATGTCATATCCTGTATGGTAATGTGCATGACATTGCTCTGAACACCGTGACATGCGTCAAAAACATTAGGCACTATCATGAGGACTGTCTCCTCCTTTGAACAGATCTGATCACTGGATATGTGTTAAGTGTAAATGTAATTAAATATCAGAGTTGAAGGAAGCCTAGAAGCCTTAGGAGTCTAGTTCTCTGGAGCTCCTAGAAGGGTTTTTAGGGGTTGGGAAAAGTTGGAAGATGAAGTCAGAATTGTGGGGTGTGCAAAGCCTAATGGAGATTAGAGTCGGGCCACTTGTAGTGTTTTCTTAGTGATTCCTGCAATCATCCCCCTTCCCTTCACCTGCTATTTCCTTGTTCATCCCAACGATGGGTGAGCCCCACTTACTGCCTCACGCCCACACTCCTAGGATGACTGTGAAGGATGTAGCCTGGGTCCTCTGCAAATCTGGGATCTCAGCTGTGACCCCCAAATTTTTGCGAGCTTCTAATTCCGTTTCTCCAACTGTGGTCTTGGGATAGCTCCCAAAGAACCACCTGGAGAGTGATCCTGAATTGGTATCTTTGTAGGGGAGGAAGTGGGCCAAGGAATTGGCTTTCTAAATAAGTTCCCAAGGACCCTAACCCCCTCTCCCTGAGCAGATGGCCTTGCCTCCAACTTGCTGGAAGTCTGATGCAGGATAACAAGGGTCAGCTTCCTGTCTGGCAGGTAATAGGTACTCAGTGGATGTTTATGGAATGAATGAGAGTATGACAAAGAAATTCAGTTTTCCATCTCTCCACCGTAAAGTTCTTCCTTTGTCTTTCTACTCCCAGCCCATGTCCTGACTGAGGCCCCATAAGGCTTCTGGCCTCGTGCAGGGTCTTGCTTTCTTGGTTATTCTCTTTCCTGTACCTTCAGCATCTTTCTTTCCACCATCTCTTTCTGCATAACGAGGTCTCCTCAGTCTTCCTTGCAAGGGACCTCCTGTTCTTTCTCCTTGTCTCTGATCAACATTTGCTACTTCCCCACTGAGATAATGGCATCACCCTTCTCTCAGCTCCCTTCCACCCCAGCCATCTTTGATTCCTCTCTCTCCCTCACTCCACATCCAATCTGTGGCTCAGTCCTCTTTACTTTACCTCTGATCTTTGTCTTATATCTCTTTATTTTCACTCCCCATGTTATTCCTTCTGTCAGGCGTTCATTTGCTCAAGTTGGGTCTCTTGCAGTAGCTTCTAGTCTCTGATGTCTGCCTTCCAAATTACACTGAACCCTTGGCCAAATTCATCACTTTAAGTCTTAGGTATTTTCGTACCATTACTCTATTCAAAATGTTTCTCTGAGTCCCCACTGCTAGCAGAATAAGGTCCTCAGTCTTTAGCCTCCACAATTTGATCCTACCTATTTTTCCAGATTTATCTTCACTACTCTCCTAAACCTCCAGTCTTCCAAAAATTCTAAATTTCTACCTTCTTGGACCTAAATACTTGCTGTATTCTCTTGCCTCCTCATCCTTACCCTTGCTCTTTTCCCAGCATCATTGCCCCCGCCATCTGTTCAACTCCTTCAACTATAGTGACACCTGTTCTAGGAACCCTTCTATCATCCCCAGACATAAGGGCATTCCTGGAACCTCTATAGCCCTCCACTGGTCTCTGCTCTGCTTTGCTTTGTGGTTCTGTGTATATGTGTCTTCTGAGATTATCAACTCCTTGAAGGCATGTAACAATATCAATAACAGCACACTGAATGACAGATATGACTATAATTGATTGAGTACTTATTATGAGTAATAGGTCCTTCACATACAATAGCTTATCACCATACTCCAATTTCATTGTTATCTCCATTTTAGAGATATGGAAACTGGGGCTTAGAGAGGTAAAAGCCAAAAAGCTGACAAGTGGTAGGGATGAGATTCAAACCCAGACTGACTCCAAACCCACTCTCTTTCTACTCCCAATGCAGCTCCCAAAGCAAAGAAGAAAACCCACATTCATTGAGCAACTACTATGTGCCAGTCAGTGCTGGCAGGGGTCTGAAACTGGGCAAGGTAATCCCATGAAATAATATACATGAAAGTGACTAGCACAGTGTTTGGCACATAGTAGGTGCTCAATATAATATAAATGCTAACTGAGAAATGGATAGACTTTGTGTCTACTCCACGCCCGAACTTGCTTCCAGAGTAGCGGCTGTGTCCTACTGTGGGGAGCTGTGGAAGGAACCCTGGGGCTGAGATCTCATTTGGGCTCAGCCAAATGCATTTCCGATGACCCTGAGCAAGTCTCACAGCCTCTCCAACCTCATTTCCTCACAGTGAAATGAAAAAGCCAGATGACCTTTTTTCTAAGGTCTTTCCAGCTCTAAGAAGTGAGGTGATATAGGGGTCAATGAGTTGTAAACAGCAGAGCAAATACAAATGGAAGTGATTACTTTAATACTTTAGATCCTTCCTGCAGCAAGGACATTTCTCTGGTTTTCAGGAATATAGGATAATTCCCTTCTCCGAAGCCGACTTTCTGAGGCTAAAGTCCCCAGCTCTTCTGGGCTGGCCGGGACAGAGGACAAATGGCCACCCCTCCCTGGTGCATGCAGGAGAGAGGAGGTACCACTTGGGTCCCCTTCTGTCTTATGGGGCACTGACTTCTGTGGGATCTGGCCATGCCTTGCAGAGAGTTAATTAATGCCTGCAGGGAAAGTTGGCAGAAATAACAGTTCCTTTGACTAAGGAGGGGAGGTGGCAATGAGCTTTGCTTTAAGCAAAATGTACAAAGAAGGAATAGGAAATCATCAACTTGGCCTCCTTTGCTGGGCCCACTAGCCTTCCTCTGTGCTGGCTTCCAACCCCTCCAGTTTCCCCCAGGAAATGAGGCCCCCCCACTAGTCATATATATATGTGGGACCCTGGTTTTTGTTTTTGAAGGTAAGAGGATCAGTACTGCTGTGGGTTTGTGAATGTGAATTTGGACAGGAGCCCAAGATGACCGGGAAGAGGCAATGATGACAGAGCTGATGGAGCTAGATGCCGCCAAGAGCAAAACACATGGCACCGACAGGGCTTACCCTCAACAGGGTTGCCGCAAGTGGGCGCTTTTCTAGGCGCTTTCCCTGCATTTTCTCATTTAATCTGAACCCTCTGGTTCAGGTCACTGGGCTTCTGAATAATGGAGCCAAGATTCCTATGCAGGTCTGTCTGTCTTGGGTGACAACACGATTACTCATTATAATATACTTCCTCCTGGGCAAATGGAATGCAAGGAGATGGAAACTATTGAGAAAAGAAGAGGAAAGTGGAACCAGGAACAGTGGGTTTAAGAGGGGAGAGAACCGAGCCTGACAGTCCTCAAACTTGCCAGGGTTGGCTGCTGGACGCTTCTAGTGCTAACATTAGTTGAGCCCTACTAAGTGAGAGGCTAAGGGACATTGCACGTACCTGCTCATTGAATCGTCGCAGTAACTGCACTGCTGTTATTTCTCATAGGAGGAGATGAAGACTGGAGAGGACAAACGTTTTGCTCAAATTACGCCACCAGTGAGAACTGCTAGAATTTGAACCCAGTTCTGTCTTACACCTAGAGTCCATGCTGGTTCCACCCTGTGGCACTGCCTCCCACTTTATGGAGCATCTCAGGATGCTGGTAAGTCCAGCCTTGGCAGGAAGCACACTTCTCACCCCCAAGGGCGGGAGAAGTGAGAAGGAGTGGGCGAGGGAACGAGGGACAAAGCTCTTGTTGAGTCCTTCCAAACCCTGCCACTTGTCTAGGCACTCCACCTGTGTCTAATCTCATTTCGTTCTCCTAACACTGGGTGGGAAAGGCATAATTGCCCACATTTTGCAGACGAGTGTATTGAGGCTCAGAAAAGGCAATTGATTGCCGAAGGTCACAGAGCTGGTAAGTGGTGGACCAAGGATTCCCGTCCAGATGGGCCCAACTTCAAAACCCAGGCAAATTAAAAGTATAATTTTGTACTTAATCAAGTAGCATCTCATGCTAGATTCTATTAAAGGCGAGCTGTAGCAGAGGCCAACACTTAACAATAATTTTATAGTTGAAAAATTTATAATTAAGGCAATCACCAATTAACTTATTTTTCTGGGAATAGGGAAAGGTTTGACGTTATTGAATTTTCGCTGCAGAAGAATCTGGAGCCTCATTGAAGAACCATGGAGTGTGTTCAGTAAAGCAGCAGCTAGAGAGAGCAGCTTAGGTAAGCTGACCTCGGCCACGTGCCCAGAAAGGGGACAAATACAAGAGCTTTCTGGGCACGGAGAGCAGGCGGGAAGCACGGCCAGGTTCGCCGCTGCCTGGGAGAGTACCTTTGGCTTTAGTCTAGGCTAGATGTAGTGTCTGCCAGAGGGGATCATATGTTCTCAAACAAGTAGGGACTGGGAACAAACTAATTCGATCATTTGTCTTCCCTGCTCAGTACCCTTCAATGTCTCCCCATTGTATCCCAAATAAATCCCGTAAGCCCTACCTTGACATTCACAGCTTAGCACAATCTGGTCCCACTTTACATTGCCAATACTACGCCACACTCATCACCCCACATAAACTTCATGCTCAGGTTAAACCGGTTCACTTTTTATTCCACGAACCCAATTTTGAGTCTTTCTCCTTTCCTCCCCTTTCCTTCCAAATCTACTTAGTAAAAATCCTGCTCTCAATTCTTCAATTTCCTTTCCTAGGTGACTCCTCCACGAAGTCTCCTCTGCCCACCTAGAAGCAAACGCTCCCTCTCTTTACTTACACGTGGCATTGATCACACAGTGCCTTGAATTGAGATTATTCATGTACATGCCTCCTCTTTCCTACTAGGCACAAGCTCCTTGTGGGCAGAGGTGATTCCTCACGCCTGTGAGTGTAGGAATAAACCAGTAACTAATGAGATAAAAGATTAATGTCTTATCTATGACGTCATTATAGTTAAATAATGGTCAGCGTTTACGTTCAATAATTTGAAAGGACTTAGCTTGAACTTGCTTAAAAGTGTGTTAGAGACCTGAAACATTTTGAGAATTAGGTTTTTTTTGGAGTTCATAAATGATTAATATTCACTCATTCGTTCAATATCCCAGTGTGGAATAATATTTTTTTTCTGAAAACCTTGTTAGAGAGAGCTTGAGGGTACAAGTCTCCCCTGACACCAAGACTGGGTCTACCAGGAAGCACAATGCCACAGGTCCTTAGTGCTATTAGGACTGCCAGGCTGTGTGTCTGCACGTGCACATGCGCCCCATTTGCTGTATCCCCTCGTTTGCTAGTCACTGTACTAGGGTCTTGAGTCTCATGGTTCCCTCCACGGCTGCAGAGTATGGCTTTCCAAGCAAGCTCCAAGTCTTGCCAGGCATCCGTCTCCTCCATAGTTAGGTCAAGCCAAGGGAGAGACATTGAAGGATGCTGCTGTTAAAAATACTTGGTCTGGGCTTCCCTGGTGGCGCAGTGGTTAAGAATCCGCCTGCCAATGCAGATGACATGGGTTCGAGCCCTGGTCTGGGAAGATCCCACATGCCGCGGAGCAACTAGCCCCGTGAGTCACAATTACTGAGCCTGCGCGTCTGGAGCCTGTGCTCCGCAACGGGAGAGGCCGCGATAGTGAGAGGCCCGCGCACTGTGATGAGGAGTGGCCCCCACTTGCCGCAACTAGAGAAAGCCCTCACACAGAAACGAAGACCCAACACAGCCAAAAAAAAAAAAAATACTTGGTAACCAGCCATGTCACTTCGCCAGCATTCAGCTCCGACATTGTACTCTGTTTATGACTGGGAGGGAGAGACATTCCCAACCAAGAAATACCTCTGGCCCGTTTGCACAGCAGCGCTGGCCCTTGTCTCTAGTTCACTTGTTAAGTTTGCAGAATTAAGTCAGCAAGGCCCCATCTTGGGTCAGTCATAGCCAGTAGAAAGACGGCCCCTCTGACTCTGGCTAAAAGCCAGGTGCGGCTCCGCTCCATCCATCTCCCCACAAATCTGGACTTACCTGAATGGGAAAAACATCATTGTCCTCTTTGGCTCTCTCCGTTTTTGGAGAGTTGGAGAATGATCTCATTTTGAGTGGAAACCAAGATAACTTACTCTGCTTGCTGCATCCAGAGGCAGTTTACTCAGTGGTCCAGGATTCAGGGCTCTGGGACCAGTGGGAACTCAGCTCACCCTTCAGCTCTGGGTTTTGCTTCGTGGGTGTGGTCAGGTTTCTTGACCTCTCTGTGCTTTGCCTCCTCATCTGCAAAGCAGGCCTACTCACCGGACTTCATAGTTGTCGAGAGAATTAAATGAGCTGAACACAGCAATGGACAAAGGAAGCGCTCCATGGGTGTCGTCTATTATTAGAATCACAGCTGCCCATGGGGATGTGACAGGTTCAGCTGACCCGCTGTAGCCGCGTCGCTCCAAGGATGGCACGCTCCTTCTTTTGCTTTTTCTCCCCGATTGATTCCTTAATCAAAATTCAAACCTAACCGTGAAGTTGATAGCATTTCCTGTCGAACATGACCCTTGACTGGGGGTATGGGATGCTTCCTGTGTTATTCTGGTCTGTGCAATAGACATTCCCACACTGTTCCCTTCCAGAGAGGAGCTGTGCTAGGCGGTGGGAGGTGTGGGGATGAAAAGGTAGCGAAGACACTATTCTTGCCTTCGGGAGCTTGTCATCTGGTTGGACTGAAAGAAAGGTGCCCGATTCCTATAAAACACCACCAAGTGTGAAAACTGTTGAAAATGAGACGCAAACCCAATGACCCGGCTGTTGGCGCTAACCCGTGTCACTATCCTGCCTTATTTTAATTATGGTTTCCCTTCTCTGCTATCATCAAATTAAAAAATCCTTCACATGGTAGTCTAGCAACATTGTTATGTTGTCATACTGCAAATCATGTGGAAAGAGCAAATTGTTTTCAGAGAAAGTTTCAAGTAAATTTATGAGCTTATGGACAAATTGCCCGTTAATTGCTTTTGAAAAAAAAACACTGTCAATGGACTAATTTCAATCTTCAAAAAAAAAAAAAAAGAAAAAAGAATGCCATCTCCCATGTTTCTGGAGCTTTAAGGTTTATAAATCTCACTGTTGTGCATTTTCCCTCTGAGTCCTGACGGTGACTCTGTGATGGTGGGAGGGATTCTCAGTCTCAGGTTGGAAATGCAGGCAGAGGCTTGGAACGGTCGTGTCTTGCTCTGTTCACGTGCTGAGGGGGCTTGTGAGGTTTTGGAACCCAGGATCCCTGACTTCAAATCCAGAGCCCTTTTCGCTACCTTACTCTGTAGTCAAGTAGTTCTGCACCATTTCACTAACATTTAATTAGCTAAAAGTGGAAACAGGTAACCTTGAAATTAATTCGAGTTAATGTTAAATGTTGCTAACTTTTTATTAGTTGAATGTTTCCATTAACGTTTCCAGTGGCTGCTTTTTTGTACCCACTCACAGCAGTGAACAAAATCGAGTAAGTGCTCCGTAAGTCTTTACGGAATAAACAAATAGCTTAGCTGGCTGGGTCTGGCTGCAGGGTGGGGTTAGAAGTTTGAGTCACGGAAGACAAAATCGAGCATTGAATTCACTCTTTGGTTTGTCAAGTATTAAGTCTCTGTTCTACATACTGTGCTCCATGGAGCAGAGCATGGCACACGTGTGGTCCTTGGCAGGTTATTTAACCTCTCTGAGCCTCAGTTGCCTTGGCTTTAAAAATGAGGAATAGGGCTTCCCTGGGGGCGCAGTGGTTGAGAGTCCGCCTGCCGGTGCAGGGGACACGGGTTCGTGCCCCGGTCCGGGAGGATCCCACATGCCGCGGAGCGGCTGGGCCCCGTGAGCCATGGCCGCTGAGCCTGCGCGTCCGGAGCCTGTGCTCCGCAACGGGAGATGCCACAACAGTGAGAGGCCCGCGTACCGCAAAAAAAAAAAAAAAAAATGAGGAATAATGATAGCACCCAATTCATGGGATTGTTATTAGCATCAAATAAATGGATGTATATAAAGAGCTTGGTTCAGAGGCTATCACGGATTGTTGGTGCTCAGTACGTGGTAAAGATAGTAATTATCAATCTCCGTGCTATGTATTTATACACGGTTCATACCCCGAGGTTCCACAGATTCAATGAAGTGGTCTGTTGCTCTCAGTAGCAGCACAGAATGCCCCTGTCCATTTGTTTTGGAGCAGAGGAGGGAAACGGAGGCCAGCTATGAAAGCAGAGCTGCGTTCCCGTGGTCCTGATGGAGGAAGAAAGGGTCTTCCTTCTTAATTTTAGGTGACAACTGGGGAAGGGACCCAGACAACTCACGTGCTGGACACACGCCACACTCCACATGGGGCCTCCACTCAGCATCCTTTGGGAATTCTGGGCCCCTGGGCCCTTCAGCCGATTGCCTGGGCCAGATGTGTGTGCGGGGATGCAGGGATGGGGCCTTTGATCCAGTGACCACTCTGGGTTCGAGCGACAGAACGACAAAGCTGGCAAAGCAGGGTGCAGGTAGATTGCTTCCCCTTCTGCAGTTCTGTGTCCTCTCTCTACAGTGGAAGGAAAGAGTCCTCCCTGGGGCCCTGGAGTGCTTCTACCTCAGTCCTCCCCTTGAGCAGGGCTCTTCTGAGGCTGAGCCCTGGGGATGGGTGGGGGCAGGGGAAAGGACTGGAGTGCTGGCCTCATCCCCAGGGACCCTTCCTGGGAGTGAATGTGGGCACAGAGACCTCCACTTCGACTCGCTCCAGACTGGGCTGCAGTCTGGGCCTGATGCACAGCACTGAGTTGCTCTAATGAATGGAGCTGCTGGCCAGCTTGTTTACGACCTGACATTTTTGCTGGCCCTGCCAGCGGCTGCCTCCTACTCTAAGTGGGGAAAAGCCACTTAGGAAGACAGCAAAGCAACCTGCCACCAATCTGTCAGCAATTGGCTTCCATTAGGGATAGGACCGCCGTGAGGTCGGGGAGGGGCAGGCTGGGAGGGAGAATGAAAGGGAAAGACAGATCTGTCTGTTTCATCTCATCCGGTTTCCAAATCCCAAAGGGATGTTCCAGGGAGGAGACTCGGTAAACTGGCGGATTGTCTCTTTCAAGGTGGCAGCTGGGTTCAAAGGTGTCTTCACCTCTCTCTCTCGTGGAAAGAAAAGAACCAAATGCCAATTTTGCTGATTGTATCAGTTTGTAGAAGTGTATCAGGTTTATCATAAACTGTCCTGGCTGCCCCCCAGGATGGTTTATCTGTCCCCATTTCTGTCTGATCTGT